CCCCCCCCCCCCCCCCTTTGAAAAAATACTGGATCCGCCCCTGTAATGTTAGACTCCTAAGCCTTTTTCTTAATTAGTTCAACAAGATGCATTGTGGCCTAGCTTTTGTACAAACAACACCATATAGGGCATGATGAACCAATCAAGCTACACCACAATGCATCATGCTTGTCTTGTTATGCAAGTGTATTGATAACCATTTGGTTGTGTTCCAGGGATCAATCTATTCATTCTGCTTTGACATATCATCAGGAAGGATTCACAAATCAAAACGGTTGGTACCTACTACTACAACAACAAATATAGTCCTCCCCACACAAACACACACTAGCGTAGGGAGGGGACACGGCACCAAAGTTGAAATAATTCACGTTGATTTGGCTAGAGAAAGGTTCCTTGCCCTCCTATCATCGAGACCTTGCTATGTACCTGCACACACACACAGACCAAATCCCGTATCCAGAACCCACGTTCCTCTTGGTCAGCAGCAGTGCTGAATGACCAAAAGCAGCCTGGGTATGGATCGACAAACCTCACACAAGGTATACAGTATGCACCCTTCTGTGACAACCCAAGCATTAATTTATGGTATTTTTCGTTTTGTTTTTATAGTATCGTTGTGTCAGAAGGAAATCCCGTCACCTCCATTGGTTACCGCAGCTGGATCAGCCGAGAAGCACGTGACCCCATGCTTCTTGTTAACGTGTGCTCTGACAGGCTCTGTTTGTACAGGTGTGTGTCTTCAGGGTGGGGAGGGAAAGGAACTAGCATGTCATGGGAGAAATAGTGATAATGATGGCCAAATTAGTGATCAAGCCCTAAACATTTGAAGTCAAGGCTCTGGTGAAACAATAGCGTAATTGTAATTATTCTTTTGTTCCCCCGGAGGCTCGACTCTGTTTTTTCTGACCTTGACCACTTAACCAGAATATCGAAATTTGCGTATTAGCCATTCACAGGTTGAGGAAAAAACTGGTTCGAGTTAGCATTGACGGACTGTTTTAATTAAGTAACGAAATAGACGCCATCTTTGAAATATTTCCCCTAAGACAGTTAATAACAAAATTTTGTATTCTTGGCTTGTTTTCCACAGCGTTACAGACGAAGTAGGAGGTCTGAAACCAAAAGCCAAGTTCCCCATCTCACAGAAGACTAAAGGCATAAGAAGCTCTTTCTGTCCTCTGATGTCATTTAGGCAGGGCGCATGCGTAGGTGAGGAAGGTTACATCCATTCATCACGGTAAAAAATCCAGAGTATTGATAAATTGATGATTTATAAATGAATTCGTTCAACATTTCAGTGACAGGAAGCGAAGACATGGCTGTGTACTTCTTCGACGTCGAACGGAAAGACAAGCCGTGTGTCAACAAACTGATGGGACACTCGTCTCCAGTCCTTGATGTATGTTGGAACTACGATGAGAGTCTGTTAGCGTCCTGTGATACCGAGGTGAGACTAGTTCCAGTCACGTGATTTTTCTGTCAGGGTATATCACGTGATCAAGCCCTCAATACGTGTTTCATACTTATCTTCCAGGGAACTGTTATCGTCTGGAAACGCGAACAACAGCAACACAACATGTGAAACGAGAAAGTATGAAGCGAAGATTTGAGATTTGCTATCCTCTCTTTTAGGACACATGGCTTCCAAAGGAACAAATATATGCCGAAAAATAGAAAATATATATATTATGGTAATGAGAAATAATTCAAATCAATCTAATTAGTCAGAGTTTCATACATATATGTAACAAGAGATTGAAAGACTACATTGTGACTCTAAATAGATTGGTTGAGACCGGCAAAGACTATGGGTAGATATTTTTACATGTTTTGCCGACCGCTTAATAATTATTGATAGATTTGAGATCTTTTACTAGTTACGTTTACTAACCTACCTCCTGTGAGCATCATCAAGCTACAGTACGTATCAAAAAGCTTCACTTGTTTGATATGAAATATTTCCCATGATCTTCAGCGGTCACAGCTTTCTAGGTTTTTGATGACCAACTTTATTGATTGGTTCGTCCTGGTCGATGAGGAAGCCTTTGAAGTGTCACAATAATTTTAAAAAAAGCGGTTGTGACACTTAAAAGGTTTCCTCTTTGCGGCCAATCGAGACGAAGACTTCTTTATCAACCTATTAAAACGAGCGATTCGCCCTGTGATACTTTCCTTCTCGACCAATCAAATACACAGAATAAGCTTGTTATTGCGTTTCATGGATGGCTTACACGAAATCGATTATTTCGGACAAGCTGCTTGATAATAGTATGTACCGGAAAAAGCGAAAGCTATAACAGTTTACCAATGTCATTATTATTATACTGCGAATATAATCATATCAAAACAGCCTAGCCGTAGCAATTACGTTAGACCATCTGTTGACAATTAGTTGAGGTTTTTGAATAATAACAAAAATTCTATATTGTTAAAAAAACAAGGATGTTTTTTCGAGCAAGACAAAGTGGATTGAAAACTGCAACAAATTATTTGAAAATAAATAATAAATAATAATGGATTAACAGTGGATTCCACAGAGTGACTATTCTTCCACTGGATTCCAATTGGTATTTAGAAGTTGATTTTTACGGAGGGAGGAAAACCCGGAAAACCCTCGAAGCACAGGAGAGAACCAACAAACAACTTTACTCACATACGACACTGTGGAAAAAGGAAGAATGGTCTTCTTTACCTAAGTCTTACCTGGAAGTTTGCTCGGCAAGAATCGACTAAAACAAAAACATAGAAAATTTGAGGCGAAATAATTGTTGTCAACAAAATAATTGGTCTTAACCAGATGCTATTTGATTACAGTTTAAATCGGAGTCGCGCATCTGTTTGCAAAGTTGTGATTTATAGAGGGAAAGCGAATCGCACGAATTATCTACGCTCGACGTAACCAAAGCTGTAACTCGTACTATGTAACTATACCAACGCTGCTACACGCTGCTGTAATCTCATAAAATGTAAATGTGTCACTAGATAATTGTCATTATACCAATTCCTATTATGTCCGTCTGCCGCCTAGTTATTCTTTGTTCGTATATTGTTACTACGTTGTATAGTTGCTCATATATTTTTTCAAGTTTTGTAGTTTTTACTTTTCGAAGGCCATACGTTAGATAACTGAGAAGTTAATTATGTTACACTCGTAAAATAAATATTTAAATTAAATAAACTAAAAAGAACCGCAAGTTCTGCCAAAAAGTAGGCCTAATCAATGCGCATGCTCTTTAGCGACCTTTTTACTATTGCGCTTGCCCATGGAGAGTGCTTACAGTTTACGTACGCAGTTTGAGTTTAATTTCCTCCTCACATCTGCCACAAGGGCTTTAGTTCAACCCGCTATCTTCGCGTACGTACAGGCGTACGTTAAAAGATATTTTTCTGGATCGAATTTGAAGACTTTCAGACCGAACAAACCAGCAACCGAAATGACCGAATCCTGGAATACATTCGCGTCTAACACATCTCTCCACGGACTTCGGCACGTATTCGGCGTATCTTCGTGGTTCCGTCGTATCTTTTGGATCCTGTGTATGCTCGCTGCTATTTTGTTCTACATTTATATTCTGAGTTCAAACATTCGGAAATACAAGTCTTTGCCTATCGATACTCGCACCTCGTACGAGTTTAACAAAAACGGCATTCCTTTTCCGGCGGTCACTATTTGTAATCTCAATCACTTCGACAAATTCAAGCTTGATCTTGGCTACGAAGACAAGAGATTTAAAACGCAGGGCCTCGATATTTCTGCCTGCGATATTGCACATAATATCAGCGGTAACCTCACCTGTGGACATGCGCTATTATGTGCTACTTTTGAATACGCCAGATCTATTATGAAAAACTGTACGACTGAGATACGTGACGCCTTGAAAGAAGCTTTGGAAACGTCACGAAGTTTTGATCGAGAGGAATTTGTGTCTCGGTTTGGGAATGAGATTGAATCTATGCTTGTTGGCCCGTGCATGTTTTCTTTCTCCGAAAACTGCAGCGCCAAAGATTTTGTACCCATTATATCTAAAGCCGGACTGTGTCACACGTTTAATAATCATATGCACGAGAAGAATAAACATTTACATTTGGCGGGAGCTGAGACAGGACTGAGGATAATATTGGATACTAAAGGGTCTTGGAGAACTATCGGGGGAAGATCTGTTGGATTTGATGTCATTATTCATAACCCAAGCCCTGTTCTTCCTTGGTCTCAAGGGTTCCATGTTCAGCCAGGCACAAACGTCAAAGTTTTGATTCAAGCTACAAAGGTTAGTTCAAATCTCATTTGGAAATCTCATAATCCAGTGGAAAAAGAGCATGCACTGTGTGGAATCCACTATTAATTATATTTAAAACAAATATATTTGGGCTACCTGCGTCAAAGTTAACGATGCGCATAGACTGGTAATGAACGAGGCTCACCTTAAGAATGACGTATTGTTGAGGTCGAGCAAATGCCACTTTCGTTAGTTTGGGCCTCCTGTGTTAGAATTTAAAATGTGCGTGGATTTTAGATGAATTTAAAAAAAAAGCCCAATCTGTTCCCTGTCAATCTTACGCGCATGTTCAACAAAATGCCACCTAGAACTTCTGGGAAACCCTAGAATTATAAGCGTTGTGATTGGTTGATGTAAAATACAAAGGATAAGAAATATCGCGACTGACCGGTTCTGGCATTTTGACGAGCATGCGCAGTAAAAATGACAAGGCTCTATCGTCGAGAGAGGAATTAGATAATATTAGTCGTTAATAACGGATTCTAATTATTAGATATTATTAGTCGCTAATAACGGTTCCTAAGTATTAGACATTATTAGTTGCTAACAATGTAAGTATTCTTTCTTTTTGATTTGAAATGCTTTTGCGCTAAAGTACATTCGCTTACCGAAGCCGTACAAATCTGCTTGCTCAAGAAAACATCTTGGTGACTATGGAAACTACACAAGGGAGCATTGTATTTTGAAGTGTGCCAACGACGCCATTACGCAGGATTGTGGGTGCAGACTCTTGGGATCGCCAGGTAAATGATCGTCCTTCATTTGCGAGGGTAACGCTTAATATGTCATGCAACTAGACCCGGAAACAGTCGCTCTCTCGTTCAATTGATTCAAGGAAAGAGGAAAGGAGATAAACCCTCATAGCAAGGGTATGCTCGGGGACGGGGACGGGGGTGGATTGCGTGGACAAATAAACATAATGAATAAGGTAAAACCTATAAAGGACGCTATATATGTATTATGATGGCTTCCCAGGTAACAGCCAGTCCACTCTTGAAATCTGGGTCCGTAATAATAATAATAATAATAATAATAATAATAATAATAATAATAATAANATAATAATAATAATAATAATAATAATAATAATAATAATAATAATAATAAATTTATCCAGGAGACCTACTCGCAAAAGCGATTTTCAGTAGGGTCCTGCGTCCTAATTTATTTTCCTGTGTATCTAGTGTCCAAAGAAGTTCCGGTTTGCAGTTTCAAGGCGGAAAAATGTAGCCATGAGGTCTTAGGTAAGTTCGGCGTATTCTTCTAATAAGCGGTCCAATTTTATTTTGTTTTCATGTCTGTTCGCTTTTGCGACTTGATTTACCCTTGTTTGTCCATTGAAAGTTGGTGTATTGTGTTGCCTCGTTCTGTTTATGGTACCCTCTTTCTCTGTCTGTGGGTCTGTGTGTACAACTGCCCGCCTTGCTCTTTCTGCTCGTCTGTCTGTCCGCCTGTCTTGCCGTTTGTGTGCCTGTTGCCTGCCTGCCGTTCTGTCTGTCTGTCTACATTCTGTCTGTCTAGTCGTCCGTCTGTCTCTCAAAAAGCTTACCTTCCTTTCAGAAAAATGGAGCCAAGGAAGCTGTTCGTGTCAGTTACCGTGTGAAGAGATAACATATCAATCCTCGACAACCTACTCCAAGTATCCATCTGAGACGCTGCTACACGTGCTGAAGGATCGCTTCAACCTCAATGAAAGTGAAACATATCTCAAGTTAGAAGTTAATAATTACCAATCATTACTTTATTAACACTATTTTTATATTATATATCATATCCTTTTTGTAATCACTACCAAATCCACCAATCTGATTGGTTCGTGCGATTAATTCCCAAATCTCATCCTAGCTCTTAATCGCATCATTTTGAAATCTTAATCGCATCTTTTTGAATGAACCAATCACAGAACAGAATTCTTATATTCAGCCAATCAGAGAGGAGAATAATTAGCATTATTTATGGATATTTAATGATTTGCTGATAAATCGTCTATTTTATACCAGGAAAAACCTAATTGATTATCCCGCTAAGCGGTCGTGCAATTTTGTAATCACTCGTATGGTTTTGGCCCAAATTGCACTCCACTAAGTTCAATTACCATCATTAAGCAATCATTATTGGTCAATAATCATTATTTATTACTATTGATTAATCGTTACTTATGCGAATATTAATAATCATATTATTATTATTAACATTATGATTATGATTATTTTATTATTATTGTTATTATTATTATTGTTATTATTATTAGTATAGGAAATTACGAGTGTCTATTAATTCCAAATTGTACGAGAAGATCGTGCGATTTTTTGTTTATAGTTCACTCAACAAAATTTCAGTAAAAAATGCGAAGCGACGCCGTTCATCTTTGTCTATTTGGCGGCCGATTTTCAGCTCATCGCGCAACTGAAATGCATAAAAAATATTAGTTCTTACGGCTTAAAATTTTATTTATATGTTTTTTAAGTACAAAATGATAGAAAATAATTGTTTTGACGTTGTTTTGTCCGTGTTGCCATAGCGACTTAATTCGGTACTCCTACGGAGTACAATTAACGCTATAATTGTACTCCTCTCGACCAATCAGAGTCGAGTAATTTTGTTGAGTGTACTATAATTATTATTATCGTTTTATTATTATTATTACTATTATTATTATTATTATCATTATTTATTATTAACTATTTTGCCATAGGAGTAACCTGGTAAATCTTCGGATTGGTTTTGCTGATAACACGCACCAAGTATTCACGGAATATCCCAGCTATGACGGAGAGAGCCTCTTTGGTAGGTTACTACCTTCACATGTAACCCTCACAGGACACTTGTCACGAACGATGGCGCAAAATTTTCTATTTCAAGAAGGATAGTTGGAGCCAATAAGCCTGAAGCGAGATGACGTTTTACCCCCGTCTCTAGACCATAATCCTTTTCACACTGCTTTTGTTCTTTAATTATAACTATTGTACCTGTATTCTCTAAGGAATCAAAAATTTTAATATGAAAGAATTTAAAAAACTATTATGGTATAGAGTCGGGGGTAAAACGTCATCTCGCTGCAGGCTTATTCACCTTTTCAACGCTAGCTCAAAACGTGTTGGTTTTGTGTTACGGTCACCAAAAAGTTCGAACATCTTTCTCGGATATTCCCATACAAATCACTGAGTTTAAAACGAAAATGAGATTCAGATCCATTTCTTTAGTTACTTTTCTAAACAGCAGTACGTAAGTAAAGCTTCAATCAAAGTAGAGTAAATAATTTGTTTACAGTCAGTACATTCGTACGGAAATCTGAGAACAATGTCCGAACTTTTTGGTGACCGTAACACATTGAATGACTTGTGTTTCTCATTAGCATTGTCGTCAAAACTGAGACGTTAGAGTTGAGATATTCAGCGTTGTTCGTAGTCGACGAAACTATTTTAAATGCCTTGATTATTCGTGTTTATACCCATAATTGCTTTCCGTTCTCGAATGACCTATCGTTTACCTCCTTTATCTTTTACAACCTTTTTTGAATAGGTGTATTCGACAAGTAGGTAGTCTGTCATGTCGTTTGATCAAGATAGTTTCTATTTTCCTTGTTTCCTTTCATTTCATCTTTGTTTTTACTTTGCATTTTCACTTCCTCTCTCTTTTCTCTCATTTTTCATCCATTCATTCATTGTTTTAACTTTATTTTTTAGCTGACTTGGGAGGTAGCATGGGTCTATTGCTTGGCTGTAGTATCCTGACACTTGTCGAGTTTCTCGACTACTTATGCATGAAGATCTACGCTTTTCTGTGCTCTAGAAACACAAGAACGGCAGCTGAACAGAACGAATAAACTCGTCCTAAAAGCGTAAGGCTTCACATTTCAGACCATTTGTTTTCATTATTTGACGTCCACAAATAGCTTATATAAACTAAAGATAAACATTTCTTTTGATTCAACAAAGATGGCGGCCAGAGAACCAGTAATTTTTCGTTTCTCACCACAAAATATTGGGGTTTGTGACATAAGAAAATGCTGGAATACCCTTAGAAAAACGTTTTTCTATAATACAAGAATAACAACTAAGGTTGGTTAATAGGCGATGTATATTATACAATTTATTTATCTCGATATTTAATAAACTAATGATGTGTTATGGGACGACCGCTCTAGGAATGAGCTTCGGGATCTTTATTCTACTCTCTGTGTTGAACTTATTACACAATAGGTTCAACACAGAGAGTGTTAATATCGTTGAATCATGATGGGCTTAAAGTGCGAGTGAAATCTTGGGACTTCGCATAGCTTAAACTAAAGTTAATACATGAATATATTGTAAATGTATAGAAAAGGTTACAAGGAACATTTCTATTGTAAGACTCTAAAAAATAGTCCTAAAATAACTGAGCAAAGGGGTAAAAACTGTGTAGGGCGTAACCAGAGCTACAAATGGGAGGAGCTAAGAGGATTACTTGTGAATTCAATGCATACCATTATCTAAACTTGTGCGTGATGGTAGCCTTGCTGAAATGTTATATCAATATTTTTATATAGCTAATGGACTAGAGATTGATAATTTTTATCTTCTCTTCTTGAGAACGTTCTTTTAAATGTTGTTTATACGAGAAAAAACACCTTCTCTAAATGTTCAAAGTGACTCTATCAAGGCCAAACTATTTACATAACAATACCTCTTGTTTTTCACAAACAATTATATATTTTACAATAACTTACAAATTTCTCGCGCGCTGATTGGTGGCTACGCCTCGTGAATCCACACTACTTTGACAATGCGATGACGCAATTTATCGTCAATAAGAGGACAGACACATAAAAAACTGATGTCTATTTGTTAAGGTTAATTCGATTGATCTTAAACTACTGTACACTTGTAATTCACTATCACTTGATAATGGGAGTCATGATGACGCCGAAACATCGTGAAATAAAAACCTTATGTTTCCTATCGCTGTCCTTTCCAGTATCCTTGAGATAAACAGTGATAATTAGAAAACTCACGCAATCATTTTCTCTCTCATAACACCACAAAATGTTGGGGTTTGTGACATAAGAAAATGCTCGACTGCTGAATTGAGTTTGTTCGATGTGTTGTTCTCTCCTATGCTACGAGGGTTTTCTCCGGGTTCTCCGGTTTCCTCCCTCCGTAAAAATCAACATGTGAGCTGAGCGTTGTGTGTATAGAATATAGAATGTAGTGGTTAGTGCGTGCGAGCGAAAAGTGTCCCCAATTAGTGCGAAAGCGCTAGAACGACTAGACACTTAAATAATAAAATAAAATAAAATAAACCAGATGGAAAAAAACTTAATAAATAAAGCAGTGTTATACCTATGTTTAATAATTCCAAGGTTATATTTTTCTTTAGCCGCCTTTGAGACCATATTTAATTCATAAGTGTTAATGAGTTTTCTTTAATTTGTCCTTTTATCAAAATTCAAATTAAACCGAGTGAAAAACCTATCTGCCTTTCTTTGATGCTTTTCACTTTTTTCCGAAGCGTTTCTGTTTGATTTAGGTTACTTTATAGTGCGCGTTTTTTCCTCGATGAATACTATATTTCCTCAGCGTTTAGGAGAAAAAATTAGTATTCGAATATGGTGACCCTCATTTTTTTTCATTTCATTTTTTGAACAAGAATATGTTGGGGTATATTTATGCCAAGTTTTAGAAAATCTGATTGCAACTTCATTTCCTCGCGAACGTCCTCAAATAACCCTACAATTGATTGTCGAATTTACAGACGTTAATGGCTGGCGGTACGATAGCGCAGTTTGGCGACAGTCATTTTGGAGAAGAGTCTATTAAAGGGATTAGGGATAAATGAACGAATCCCTATTTAGCACCCTCTAAATCCACGATTCTATGCACCGCTAAAAACACCAATTTACACCTACTCCTAAATTAATTAGGTGTAATATTTTCCCTGCCACCTTCAACGCCGTATTATTGGTGTTTTTTTTGTGGTCTAACAGTGACATCAATAAAGCCAAGTTTATGCCGTTAAAAATCAAATTATCGTAAAAATTAATTAAATTTAAAAAGCTGTTTTCTTTGAGCTTGTGCATGCATGACATGAAAAAGTTTACTGAATACAAAATGAAAGTTCATCTTTACTATCGCAGCTGGATAAGAAAAAAAAGCTTGGAGCATGTTTACCAATGTGAAAATGTAATCTTAAAAGTTCATCGACACTATTCTTAAATATTTCTTAGCTTTCGTGAGGGGAAAATCATTATATATTAATGAGTTCTCTTTCATGCCCTTTTCATTTATCTGGCAACGAATTAAAGTGTCTCCTTCCCTACAGTTATCTTCGACAAGGTGGTTGTATTGACTGAAATAAGTGTCATAGTGTGTTTTCAAAGCATGTTTTGCCAAAACAAGACGCTAGACGTTTCTTGAATCTTCTCCAGTTTCGTTAAAGGGAAAGAAAAAGCGGGATTGCCAACAAATTAAAGAACTAGAGTGAAGGATCGACGACACTGAAGAAAATCCTCAGGCAAACCTCAAAAATCAAAGGTATTTAACTCAATCAATTGAAATATTGTTCTTGTTCGTTTGAGTTTGCAAATAAAGTTTTATATTAATAGCTTTCAAATCAATTGACATAAACACTGATAAAATAAACAGCAGATACACGAAACGACCGTAATTTTACACCGTGAGAAGATGAAAAAACTTACTGACGTTTCGGACGCTAGTCCTTCCTCGGAGTAAAAGAGGAATTTACTAAAATAATATACAAAATAGTATACAAAAATCCCTTTTAGAAACTTAAGAAATAATTTTTTAGTTATTTTCACAATGCTTATCTTAAATGAAATTTAACCGAAGCCTCAGGAAAGACGTTATTAAATGTCCTTCAAATCGCTTGTTTCCTTTTTCCAACAGTTATTTGTTGTTGTTTTTTTTTTGTTTTTTTTGTTTTTTGTTTTTTGTTTTGTCATGGGTCATGGTTTCAATGCAGCCGTCGTCGTCCGAGTTATTTTCACTATGCTTATCTTAAATGAAATTTAAAGCATCCGGAAAGACGTTCTTAAAAGTCCTTCAAATTTCAATCGTTTTATTTCCTTTTTCAACAGTTTTTTTGCCATGGCCGTTTCAATGAAGCCGTCGTGGTCCGAGTTTGCGTCGAACAGCACTCTACACGGACTTCGTTACGTAGTCGGAGTCTCATCGTGGTGTCGTAGATCATCTTGGCTTTTCTGTATACTAACTGTAACCGGGATTTATTTATATTTCCTCGCAGAAAGCGTCCAACAATACGTCTCAAAACCCATCAACACTCACACATCTCATGAGTTCCCAGAAGATGGGATGAATTTTCCGTTGGTAACTATTTGTAATCGTAATGCTGTCATGAAGTCCAAAGCAGACATCGGATACGATGACGAAAGATTCAAAAAACTCAAACTCGATTTACCCGCCTGCGATACCATAAGACATGTCAGCGGTAACCTCACATGCGGACAGGCGCTTCTGTGTGCCTATCATAAATATGGATCGAACGTCGTCGAAAACTGTGACAATAATATGGTAGACAAACTGCGCAATGCTTTGAACACATCTTCAAGAATATTCAACCCAGAGGAATTCCTGCGAGTCTACGGCCATGACATCGAAACCATGGTAGTCAGCTATTGCCGCTTCTCTACAGATTACGTGTGCTCTGATAAAGATTTTCAGCCCGTCATGAGCCCCAAGGGTCTGTGTTATGAGTTCAAGCCCAAAACTAAGGATGGTCGGCCACTCAAAGTCCAGTACACAGGAGGGGATGGAGCGTTGAATGTTGTTCTTGACACCCAAACAAACGAAGGTACATTTGGGGATTGGTCCATTGGTTTTCTAGCGATTGTGACGTGGTATGGTGAAGTGGCCAATCGGAATCGAGGATTCAACGTCTTTCCTGGCTCACACGCTATCGTTGGTGTAATACCTAAAATGGTAAGCAAATCCACCAATCCTTGTCGTCTTTTTTCAGTAGAGTTTGATTGACTGAAGGGATACCGTTACATTGGCGGATCTAGGGGTGTAGGGGAGACATGCTCCCATCCTTTGTATCTAAGAAGGATTAAATTGTGTTCCACTCAGTGATCAATGAAGGCCCGTTTTCGAAAACCTAGACAATGAACCGCCTCTCTTTATGTTGACAAATTTCACTTTTTTAAAAACTGTTAGGTTAAGCGCCTACCAGCACCCTACAAAACCAACTGTTCTGAGAGACATCTGCCCGGTTATACATTATACACCAAAGATGCTTGTGTTGCACAGTGTTTTAACAACGCCACCATCGCAGCATGTGGCTGTAGATTAGAAGGTGAACCAGGTAAGCTTGCATTATTGATAAACGTATCTTGAAACCTGTCTTAATCGACCACTGGTCGTACAACTGAGGCTCTGCCACCACTACAACACGTGGTAGCAAACTACATGGTGAACCAGGTAAGCTTGATTGATTAACGCATCTTGAAACCTGTCTTAATCGATCACTGGTCGTACAACTAAGGCTCTGCCACCACTGCAACACGTGGTAGCAAATTACAAGGTTAACCAGGTTACTTGATTTGATTAAGTATATTGAAACCTGTCTTAATCGACCACTGGTCGTACAACAGAAGTTCGAATTTTACTACCAATACGAGAAGATCACAAAGAGAACCTGTTAAAATTATTAGTAGTAGTAGGCTAAAAGGTAGTTTTCTACCGTCTGTGAAATGAAAGGAAAGAGCCTTTGAGAATTTCAAGACTTTCGGATGGCAAATTTGAAGAAGTTTTGCTCCAACATCGCATAAAGGAGCTTCGAGAACGATGTAGGCGAACGATGTAAACGTAACAATATAGGCGCGCAGTACATCATAATTTTAAAGATTCTACAAATAAGTTTGATATAGCAAAACAAAAACAGCAAAACAATAAACGGGAATGTCAAATACTTTTTTCCGCGTTTATAGGATTTCCTGACATTCCAGTCTGCAGTATTCAAGATGCCCAATGTCGTACAAAAGCCCAAGGTAAGAAAGGATTCAAAGGGCACTGATAAATCTTTCGTCAAGGTCAAAATACGACGGGCCGATTTATCGGAATGAACTCGGAATGACCTCGGAATGAACTCGGCCTGTCGTTAATGAAAAACTAGATTTTTTCTAGGCAAAAAAACTGATCTTAAATAACGATTACTTTAACTGTTAATTTAGAAAATACCAATTTAGCTGCCTGCTGGTGTTCCATGCCATGCATGGAGAGATATTTTGAAACCACGATTTCCTACTCAAAGTTCCCTAATAAAGTTGGCATCTCCATCATACAGAAAAGATTCAAGCTTAACAGATCTGAAGAGTATATAAGGTAATAATGAGGAAGACTTGTTTTTTTTTTGCACGCACTAAAACCGTGAACATTAAATAGTACTAATTAGTAATATTTTATACAGAATCCTTTGTTTTCTATTGTTTAATTATCACTATTTAGTGCTAAAAATTAGTATTTGTTTCACGGATTTAGTGTGAGCACTCTAATTTGTGAGGCCGGACTGAAAAGAATATACATAAACGACTCTTATTCCACAAGTTCCTCTGTTCATTCCCATGATAATTCTTCTAGGACCAAATTCCTAAAAAGAATTGAAAAGGAATCGAAGGATTGATAAAATGTCTGTATCTTAAACACAGGAATAACCTTGTTTATCTACAAATCGGTTTCGTGGAGTTGGCTTATCAAGTAGACGAACAGATTCCGGCATATGGACCGAGCAGCCTTTTCGGTAAGTTCTGCATATTGGACAGACAGAAGTCCGTCAAAAGTAATTTAAGAAATTTAACGATGAATATAGAGGACATTCAAGAACTACTCTACCAAAAATTCGGTATTTTAAGCACGTTATCACCAAGAAATTTTTTGTTTTTTTTAATAGAAAATATGTTGCTTGGCGACTATTGGGGCCATATAGATAAGTTTAACCAAGTTTCAAGTCATTTTTATCGTTTTCATCCATCACGTTAAAGGATCTACTAGTTTAACAGACCTAATTTATCAGTTCTTTGTCTTATCATTAGCGTGAGCATTATCACATACTCCTGTTCAAATGCAAATATTCCTGGAATCTTGGATGATGAAATAAATAATGAATGCACATGCGCAGCTTGTTTTAGCATTCATCAATGGGGGAGGGGGGTGGGGGAGGGGTGCAGAGTTTCTCATTTGGTTTGGCCCAGACTCCTTCTAGTTGATACCTGCTAATAGTCCCCTTCACAGTTCCCGGTGCCATTTTGAAAAGTAAAGGTGTCTGTGCATTGAAGTGAGACGAATGGTGAGCTTGCAGTTAAAAAGGGTCTCTATCTTTGCAAGGTCATCACTGTCCTTGCTTCAATGCACAGGCACAGTTACCTTTCAAGATGGTGCATGGGACTGTGAAGGGTACTATTGGCTGATTCTACAATTTAGCTACGACTAATTGAATCATTTTGGATTAAAAGAGCAGTTCTTATTATAGCATAATGAAATTCCCATTTTCATATACTCACCAATGAATTTTTTCCTCTTTTTTCATCCACTTTCTCTTCCATTCCAGGTGATATTGGTGGCAACATGGGTCTATTTCTTGGCTGTAGTCTTCTCACAGTAGTTGAATTCCTAGATCACATATGTATTTTGCTTCTGAACAAAGTGCGAGGTGATAAAAAGACTAATGATATTCACAATAATCAAAGTACTTCAACTTTGTCCACCTAGATCAGCCTTTGTCAGACTCAAACAATTCTCCAGGATTACCTGGGTATTGACTGGATGTGATGCAAATTATCCTAGCTATGCTTGCTAAATGAGAAGACAAAGAGAGATAAAATGAAAGGCACATTACTTTAGTTTTCTCAAGTGTGTGATGAATGCAAATTAATGATATGCCATTTTGCATAGCTTAAAGTGAAAGCCAAGGATGACAAAAAAATTGAGCATTTATAAGTCATCAAAGACACCACATAAAAGCAAAATTACACAAGAAAATCTTTCAATTTAATAACTTTCCATTTACTTAAAGCCAGGTTCTTATTAGTGATGTAAGCCAAAGCAAGCATTAGCATAAGCGCAAGCCAGAGCAAAAAGAAAATCTTTCATTTTCTTGCACTGGCATTACTTTATTTCATAGTGAGAACGTGGAGTTATGCCTGCTTCCTTCAGGCTTGCATCAGTTTGCATCGCTAATGACAATCAGGCTTAAGATGGCATTACAATTCTAAATTTATTGTTTAAGTTAACAATATTAGATTAATAAATAGCCAATATGCCAGATCTGGGACAAATCTCTATACATTTACTGTGTGAACACAATAACTGGGACTACTTGAAGAAAGTTGAGCAATCACAATATAGAGTGAAAACAAATGAATCAAACTTAAGTCAAACTTGAGCCAATCAGGGGCAAGCAATGAACCCTAGATATCTGAGAAAAAACTTAGAAGTTATCAAACACCATGAGAGATTGTGATTGGCTGAGATCAATATGTACTGATTCTGTGCACTCCTGATTGGCTAAAGATTTTTTTTAATCTTAAATTTTGTTCAAGTGGTCCTGGTACTTCGCCTGCATCAGATCAACTATCAACAAGACAATACTTTCTATTTAGACTCTATTGCCTTCAAACTATTGTTTCAAGTCAATGCATTTGGGTCAAAACAATGAATGTATAGAAACTGACCCAAATGCAACAATTATTGTCAACTCTCGCCTTGCGGACACCACAATATTACGAACACCTCGCTATTACGGACATGAGACAAATCCCGACAAAAATACGTACAAAGAAATGACTGTAAATAATTTTTGCTATTGCGGACACTCACTATTACTGACATGAAATGACGGTCCCGAGGGTGTCCGCTGTAACGAGAGTAGACTGTAAAGTGTAACTTTAATATCTGCTATTATGACTTACATAATTATGAATAAATTAATTCTTATTAATATCATAATCCTGTATATAAATACTTTGAATGTTCTTTAACATATTTATATATACTCTATCAATAACTATCATTTCGTATAAATATCAGCTAACATTAACAAATTTGAATTTTTTACTATACTTTAACTTATTTACAGTTTTGTGTAAACCCTCTGTTGATAAAGTTTCATTCAATTGGATTGTTTAATAATCAATTCTATTTTAAATGAGTTTTAAAAATTAATAATCATCTCATAGACATTAACAGAAACTTATTTTATTTATTTAATTGAACTACTAAATATTAACCGATATTTTCTATTTATTTCCCAGATAAGAGTGATTCTATTTATCCAGATATGAATCAAAATCCATAAGTGAATTTTCCAATGAAAAATGATAATTTATTTGATCAATAAAAGTTAAACTACTTATTTTACAGGTTTAAATGGAATCACTCTCCATAGGTTAATACTCTGTGTATCCAAAGTTTAAAATAAAATCAACTGTAACTTTTAAATATGATTTAAATATATTTTACTTTAAATTTAATACGAAATCTTTTAGTGCTATATAAACAAGAATAAAGATTTCAAGGGTTTATGCTATTATACATGAAAGCTTATAATGCTGGTTACCAAGGTGACTAGTCTCTCTGTCTCACAATGCAGCAAATCTTTATGTAGATTTATCTGTAAATCAGCTTAAAACAAAAGTTTGAAATATGAAACTGTTATGTTGACATTCTTAATTGATGCCTTTTAAAATGTTAGCAAACATTTGTTAATGCTTTTTTTTCTACTACTTATCTTTTAAATTGAGTAAAACTTCAAAATTTATTGATAACCAGAAACAACCTCTGGGCCAAAAAAACTAATAATATTAATGTTTTATGAACTGCAAAACGTCATCAAGACCTCCTTTTCTTTTGTTATGAGCTCTAGTCTTATACACACCACCTCCAGGAAGGGTGCTGGCAGCATAAGTGGTAAATAAAGATCCTTAACACAGTTTTCAAAGTCTCAAGCCATCCAAAAAAGCTCCTTAATCATCTCACAAAGTGGGTGTCTTCCTCTTCAGCCTCTAATGCTTCCAGCAACCAATCAGTTTGATAATTGGTCTGATGGTATCCATCATCATAGGTTAATTGGTGGTACTCTTTAAGTTTTCCAAATCTGCCATCTGGGATCTTCAACAGACATTGCAAGAGAATAAATAGCAATGCATATATTATACACACACCAGCACCACATCGAAATACTACCACTGGGCCATACTGATTATAGAGCAGAGCGACACCAATTCCTCCCATGCCGTGTCCTATTCCCCAGTATACTACTGACATAATCCCATTAAGAGTTCGCTCCATTCCTATTGGTGCAACTTCTGCTGCATAAGCCGAACATGCAGACCATACGCATGTCATGGACAAGCCTTGGAAGAGTTGAACTGGAAGGATAAGCCACTGGTTTGTGATGAAGGAAAAGCAGGCAAAATGCGCACTGTAAGCTAAGAGGGCTAAAGCAAATACCCAAGTATATCCACCAAAACGTATCAAATATTTTGAGAGAAATAGCGTACAGAGCTCAGAAAATGTTCCAATGACTATCATTAATCCCATAACTGTTATTGACGCTTTAATGTCTTGTAAATACCACATCATGTAATTTGACATCAGTGACTCTGCCATGCCCAGTGCAAACAGAATAGAAATAGTAGCTAGTGCATGCATATTGCAGCTGACAAACTTACATGCACGTCCAAATCTGTAAATCATGGAAGTTTTGGGCTCATACACATGCAGAATGGATGCGAATAGAAATGCTGCACTACCCAAAAATCCAAACAGATAGAAGTGGATATAGAAACTGTTTTTCAAACCAAATGAGCAATGGTAATGACCAATCACAAGGATTACGAGGCCAGCTCCAAAGATCTCTCCCAGTGATGTCCAAGCCTTGCTTTTTGCAACGCTTCCTTTACTAAAATGTAGAAAATCTGCAAATATGCTATCACTAATGAGTTTAACTGCTGACATGAAAAATTCTGCAAATGCTGTTATTAACAAAAGATTTCTGAACAATACGTCCATACGAAACCCATACATTATGAAAACACTGTCCTCCTTTTCTCTTTGGAGTGCTTTTGTTCGGTTTAATTCAAGGTCTTGATGTTGTCTCTTGGTTTTCGTTACGGCTTCTGTCATATCTCGTTCATGCATTCCAAATGCTAATGAGCGAACGTGAATTAGAGATTTATTCTCAGCATGAAGAAACGAAGATTCGTTTTTAAATACATTCTCTTCGTGACACACGTACTCCATAAAGTCAGCATCCTGTTTGTAAACAAAACTCACAGAAATATTTAAAATAATACCGATTAGCAAGAGAACGACCAGGAAGCATTTTCTTTTCGCGAGCTTCTCCGAGAAAATACACCATAAGAAAGAGCTCCAACACGAGATAAGAGACCTCAAACAGCCTAGAATTCCACTTTGGAAGGCAGTCAGTCCCAAGAAGCGGAAATACATGGGAAGAAAAGGAACCATCGTGATATAACAAGCTCCATAAAATACTCGAAACAGCTTGGGAGCGAGAAGAGTTCGACTAAGACGCGACGGTGCTGCCCAACTAAAGTCGTGGATTTCTTCGCCATCCATGTTTTGATTTCAGAAATGCTCAATCATACGTGACTTCAGTGTTGTCTCAACATTTTGTGAAGGTTGAGTGATTCGTGAAGTCTTGCATAAGGAAATAAGGTAGCTTTTGTTTGGCAGAGAAGATATTTGTAAACGTGGCCTGATCACTTGTTCTATATGATCAGTTGACCACGTGGAGGCACAGGGAGCCCACTCTAGATGATAGTACAAGTTAAAAATAAAACTTTCAATGTGGTTCGTGATCGTTCGTGATACTGAAAGAAAAATTGGCCGAAGGAGAATTATATCAGAAAATTAGACCCATATTGCACCAAAGTTGTGAAATGTCGTGTGCTATATTTTTCGCTTTATCTTTTACTATTTTTAAGTATTATTGATAGTTTTTATAGAATATAACTCTTATCTAAAGTGGGCTCCCTGTTGTTTGGGTTAGCACGCTCAGTTATGACCGAAAGAAATATAAAAACTGGTGACAAGATAAATGATAAAAAAATATGAAGAAGGAAGAGATAATGAGCAAGGGCGGATCCAGGGTTTTTTGAAGGAGGGGTCTCAGGGGTAAATTTTGTGGGCAAAGGAATCCCAATCGCATTTTTACCACAGGAAGCCCATTTGACCTCAGGAATGAGAGGGGGGTCGCGACCCCTCCGACCCTCCCCCTGGATCCGCCCTTGAATGAGTCAGTATCGTTAATTTAAAACAATTCAAATGCTTTTTCTTAAGAAAATCAACAAAAAGTCAATGATACAGGGCCATTGCCAGCCTTGAAAAACAGGGGACGAAGATGAGGCAACGAAAACAATTCGCAAGAAGTTATCACTCTTCGTTACTTTTAATTTCAGGGGAAAACTAGTGGACACGGGCTCTCCGATCACTGTGGACGTTACGACCCTTAGATCACAGGTAGCCCAGGCTTTGAATAGTGTTGAATAACTGAATCAATCGAGAGACAGACAGACAGACAAAGATGACGCTTCCCCACCACACACTAAAGGGAAGCGTCATCTAAACCCGAACGAAATGAGCTTTAACTAAGCCATGGGGTTGTTCAATATATCAACAACACACGTTTAGAGTTTTTTTTGATTTTACTGATTTTAAAGCAAAAAAATGAGGATTCAAAAATACCTATATATTCTTCGTATAATACCCATATAATCTTTGCCTGTCTGTCTCTCGATCGATTCAGTTATTCAACACGAACGGTACGCCTGGGCTACCTGTGCTTAGAAAAAGCGGGTTTTCGGAATTTCAGCTTGAGAAATGGGGGCAAATAGATGTCTTGACAGAAAAATATCCGAAATGTTTACCATTATTTCTCGTCTATTCTCCTTTTATTAATAATAAATGTATCTACTAAGAAGGAACGATATCTTAGCGAAGTAAAAAAATTTAATGATGATTACTGAAAACATAGTCAATAGGGGCCAAGATCTCCTATTTTAATTAAAAAGATATAACTAGCTAAAAACTAGTGTGAGCTGCGTCGGTGTTTCTAATGAAACAGTAATGATGAAAAGGTAAATTATACACCGTGAAAAGATGAAAAAACTTACTGACGTTTTGGACGCTAGTCCTTCGTCAGAGTAAAAGCAACTCCGACGAAGGACTAGCGTCCGAAACGTCAGTAAGTTTTTTCATCTTTTCACGGTGTATAATTTACCTTTTCATCATTACTATTTCAATTAACTATGCTAAATCTGAAGTGGGGGGGGGGGGAGCGCAAAAAATAGAGAGTTATGTTGACAACTTGAAATTTTCATGCTCCGGTTTTGGGCCTTTCTTTTCACATGACAAGTATTAACAACACATTATAATAAAGTTAAATAGAAAAAACTGGAAGCGACTGAAAACAGAAAGAATGAAACAACTTAGTTAAATTCGGACAAATTTAAACTTGAACAAGGAGAATAATAAGCAACAGCACATGAGGTCAGCTGCACAATTTAGAATGTCAGTGTACACTAGTTTATTCTAGTGTTATCATTGGTAAGTTACTGTGTTTACGCAATTTCTGCTAATTCTTTATTTGTTTTACCTATATTAGCCAGTCCTATAGTCGCTATGTCGCACCTGCTCCAAAAATTCTGTCCAATCACATCAACGTACCTCGCTTGTCAACATTATTCAATGTTCAAATATCACTTTTACAAAGTTTAAATGACATTGTTGGACTTCATGAATTCCGGCAATTGTACTAAAAAAATTTTAAGTCTGGTAATAATTCGAGTCGTGGAATGTGATACAAAAAAAACTACGAAAATGCAATCAAGGGCTTTGGCAGTTTGGTGCTTGATAATAGTTTTCTTGACTTCAACTTTGAAGGTACTGTAAAATCAAAATTCATATAATCGCAATTCTAATGGTTTACTATCTTCGTTCATTTGCTTTAACAAGTTTATTGAAAGTACCGAGTCTTTCTTGATTTATACAGCTGAACTTCTTTTTGTATTTTTTATATAATGTTATATTTTAATGCTTTCTTACAGGCATTTGCAGTTTGTCCGTCATACGCAGTTCCTGGTAAGACTTTTTCTATCTTTTCAGTGTAAACAATTTGTTTTACATATCACTTCAAAAAGTTTGGTGAACTTTGAGCTCTCGGATTTATACATGAAAATGTTCTCGGCTCAACTAAGTATAATCATAAATTTCAAATTTTCAATTTAAACCGAGCAAAAATATGTTTTGAATGACTTATTTCGACACCCGGCTAGCTTCGAATATTGTTTATTTTAATATATTCTATCTTATCAGATCTGTAGCCTAAAATATACTGACCAACATCATATGATATTAAAATAGTATCAATTTTTTCTGAAAGTTTTAACTGTGAAGCTTTCAAAGTGTTATCCGTTTCAATGTTCAGGGAGATATTTTTAGTTCACTTCGAAACTTATTTCACTGATATTGTTTTGATTGGATTCCAAATGATTGTTAATTTCATGATACAAAGTTTAAGTTTCCATAGCTTTTTAGATACAGGGCTCTAAACGTTTAGAATAGTCTCTTACGCATTAAAGATCAAGATTCTTTACGGAAACTAGTTTCGTCTTTATTCAGATTGCCCCTAGTGTACCTCTCTTGTCTCCTGCGAGAGTTTTTTATTCGAGTGAAGTTCGAACGAAGCGATAATTTGTTGAGCTCAGCGAGAGACGAAGTAGCGATATAGGTCGACCGTCGCACGCCAGTAAAAAGTCTAATAAGGGTCAGTGTTTGTGAGTGGGTGCCCGGATTTTGGTAGTAAGCGGTGGCGTGAGTCTGGCTAGATGTTTATTTACCCGATCCAGCAAGTTCGAGTAAACTTTTAAATTAAAGTATTTGAGAAGAAAAATAAAAACAGAATAACAATAAACTTCTACGTAACGCGTGTAGATTGAAAATTTTTCGATTATTTGTACTCTTATAAAAAAATATCTTATTAACTCATAGGAATGTTGATAAATCTTGAGATATTGGGGTTTTGTTTTGATGCAGGGGGTTTCTCGTAATATTATAGCTTGTCAAGTGAGTTGTCTTAATTAAAATATTATTTTCCAAAAACATGGAACAAAATTTTGTTGAGGATTTTCTTGATTTTTTAATGATAGCTTTTTATTCTTTTATTTTCTTCTTCTTTTTCTTTTTCGCTTTTTTCTTTTGGCTCAGGCTAATATTTTTCACTGATCGTCATCGTGGCCGGCTTTCATTTTCTCGATTTTGTATTCTTCTTCTTCCATTTTTTTTCTTTTTTATAACACAGTGACGTGAAGATATGAAGTTTATCTTTGAGTGATGAAAAATATTTCACGAGTGAGAGCAGCGAGTGGCGTATTTCCCAGTAAAACACTCATATTTATATAATAATAAGCCATGTTTAATTTGACGTTACAACTTTTAAGTAACAACTGAAAAACCAATTGAAACTGCAGTTTCAAATTTTACTTTTCTTGCATTCCATTTTTTCGGAATTCTTCAAAGTCTGCTAGAATAAACTGTTGATGTAACAACGGTTTGCTACATCATCCAGTTTTGTCGGTGGTCTTGTCAAGCTTCCGATGCCAACAGGGGTATTAATGCTAATCAAGTTTCACCGCGTTAAGATCTTTTCCGTTATTACTAAACCTATTGTTTATTCAACGGTTTGGTGAAAATGTTTTTATTCTAGTTTATCTAAATAAAGACGAAACTAGTTTCTGTAAAGGATTTAAATAAAACAATTTACGTAGGTTGTGTCATTAGTATTAAATTAATTTTGTTCGTCAAAAATTAATTAATTTTGGCCTGCCTTTTTTAATGTCATTGAAACTCTTTTGATCGTGAATCTTTTATTCGTCTTTAATGGAATATAGCCAAAATTCAATAGAAATTCCAGCGAATTTATAGATTCTATTTTTTTTCCAGAAAATTTAAAACGACCTTTCATCAACGTAGCGAGCACCACACAACAAGCTACATGTACAGCTACATCAGAGCATCTCGGATTTACGTGCAGTAAAGCCTTGGATGAGGATACAGCCACTGAATATAAAGTTAGCACAGGCAATCCGGCTATTGATTCTTCGGTAACCATCACTTTTTTTCACAAATACCTCATAAATACTGTCAAAATTACCCAGCTAGAAGGAGCAACCAATCAAATCGAGCAAATTAAGATCTCATTTGATAATGTCAACGATGTAGAGTATGTAAGTATGACAAGTGCTTTATTTATACTGGGTTTTTCAGTGTTATTATTTATTTATTTATTTATTTATTCATTTATTTATTTATTTATAATTAAACTTCTAAGATTCGGACAAACATTGCATTCTGTTTAACCGCTACGAGGATTATACGAATCGATTTTATTATTTTTACTTAAAGTTACAATAATAACCCATGTAAACTAAGATCAACTGCGATCGGCTGTGAAAATTATCTGCTGAAAGTAAACTTGTAAGTTTGTTTGTCCGAATTTTGCCTTTGTCTTCGTTTTCATGACGCCACGACTGCGCTGCGCTATTTGATTGCTAGCGATTCCGAACAATTGCGAAAACCATTGAACCTGATCGTTTATTTTCGATTGCATTGACATTGTTTTGAATTCGATTGGTTCGATTGAAAAAAGCCAAGTCGAAGTTGAGTTCGATTAGAATCGATGTAATCGAATGTTCGATTTTGTTAGAGTCGCCACTCCTGGAAATCAGATTTATAGGTCGCAATCGGCGAAACAAATGTATGACTCTCCTATTAAGTCAACAAGGAAACTGCTTTCGTCAAAACTATAAAGCTATCTAAAACCCCAGTCCTCCTCCAAAAAAAAATGAAAAACGTACCTTTTCTTTCTCTCGAATATCCAAGGCTAATTTAAAATCCAAGTTCTTGAAAACAAAGAAATTAGTTAATTAAGATTTAAGCAAGATTTATATGTATGTTGGTAATGGACTGAAACTATTAAGTCAGTTCAATTTCTGTTTTTCCCCTTAATTAAAGTTAAATTTTATTCATAAAGCTACGTAAAAAGTTCATAAGAATATGTCGTTTTTTCTAAGGAAATGGACATAAATAGAGATGAATAGAAGCATCCTCAACGAAATACTGCACAAGTTTGATATAAACCTTTCCAAGAAAGCATAAACATTCATGCTCTCTTGGTTTTTCTAAGCAGCTTTTGAAGATAATTATAATTTATTTGGCAAATTGGACGTACTAGAAGGTGTGAATTACCTAATGAATTCTAGCTGATCTGAGGAGAAATGTCAGCCAATCCGCAGAATCGAGAATTTTTTCAACATTTGGGAGTCATCTTTCCTCTAAATAGATTAACTATTAACTATTGATCAGTCAATCAATTTATTTCTCGCTATTCAACACTAGAGTAGGCTAAGACTTTACAATTGTGAAGGGCTCTAATACGAGTCCAGAGTTGGCCAGGGTAAAGTGCAACTTACTCATTTGAGTTAGATAATCAATGCTTTGAGACTTATTACGATTATGTATCCTTTCACAGATAAATCTAACAAAAAACGCAGCCGCACAGGCCAAGCCAGAAGCGTTCTCATTTAGCGAACGCCTCACAAAAACAATAAAATTAACAATTTTGATTCTGCATGATGGAAGTACGGGACATGGGTATAAGTCAATAGAAGTAACCAATGGAATGGCTTCTAATGGTAAGTAATAAGCAAACAGGTGTTTGTCTGGATTTGTTTAAACGTTAACGATTGTTCTCATTATTTAGGTAGGCTTGGAGAAGGATAAATTCCACTTTCTAAATCTATATTCAAATCTTGAATATATATAATGTTTTAAAGTGCCTATCACCCTTCTGACAATATTCACAGTATTGATTCTACATGGGGTAAGATGTTGAATAACCCGAAAAAATTACATAGTTTGAGTGCGGCTTCTCGAAGTTATGAAGGTTTTTCCATGTCATATGCTAATGCTGTGACGTATGAGGAGTCATTTATGGCTATTTGTTGTTCCTCGTAATTCGAAACACCGGCTTCTATGGGAAAACTAACTTGCAATCATTTCTATAAGAGCAATGGGGAAAACAATGACGTATTTCAAATTTAATTTATCTGTACCAGTAGTGTTTTGTATATTAAATGATTACTTAAACCTTTTTTTAACAGTTAGAAACTGATCTACTATGATGAAATGCTTGTTTGAAGCGGTATTTTCAATTGTACAAAGATGTTTTGTTGCATTTGTGTTCAGGAATGTAGCTTTGTCAGGCTTTTTTATAGAAAATATATGGGAAATAAGCAAACGAAGGCCTAAACCTCATTTTCGAATAAAATTTTTGTTTTGGGTTAACACTTTGATTCCACTTTCATCGGTCACCTCCACTTCCAAACAAGTTAAACTTTCTAAATAAAAAGATTTTAGCGTTTTACAACAGCCTTTCTTCAAGAAAATATGTTTTGGCGCTCACTGCTTGAATACGTAATAAGAATAATTACTAAAAGCCAAGGACACTTATGTTTTTTGTCAATATTGTAATCCTTACTTTTCTGTAAACATCATTGTTTTATTAGTAAATTAAGGTATTTAGGCAAACATTGTAATGGGATTACCTCACAGTGTTGCCTAGCAACACGTCTAAACACGTCGGCGTGCGAGTACTCGGGTACCGCTGTCTTTAGTATCGCAGGCACATACGTGATTAATAAAAGTGACCTTTACTGCACTTGAAATTATATTTGAATTTAAATGCTTGCAATCATTTCTGACCTGATGGTGTTGTCGAGATGACAACGAAACGTCGTCTAGTATCATTAGTTTTTATATTAAGAACATACAACTTTATTTTTAATGAAGTTATTCTCATTGTTTTTAGACAAACTTTGTGACTACCTCACCGTGTTGCCTAGCAACATGTCTGAATACGTAGGCGTGTACTCGGATACCGCTGTCTTTGGTATCCTAGGCACCGAATCCCATGCCATCTTGTCAACATCAACGTCATCAGCATCACCTCGTTATGTCTTACGATTTGGAGCAGCTACAAATACTAAAGTCCAACTTGACCGCTTTGGGCCTCCTGGGACCGACGTATCCAATGTCCAAGAGGCAGCCACAGTACTGAGCGCGACTGACTGGAGGATGTTCAGTATTGACTTTAGCACGACAGCCGTGGCATTGATAATCGGGGACGACCTGCTGTTAAAGCACGATGACGCAGCGGATCGTATTCAAATCAAATATGTCTCATTTTACAATCCTGGTAGTACGAGCATCAAAGTTCTCTACTGCAATAGAGAAGGTAAGGCTACTTTTATTATTACGTCATTACATACTCTAATACTCTTGAATACTCTAATTTAAATTTTCCCCCGAAGAGATTAGCATGAAAATGCTTCTCTTAAATTTGACGTTAAATAAAGTTTACTACTGCTACTGCTACTTCGGCGATGTGTTCGGCATGTACCATCCTCGATGGCCAGTATATCACAACCACTAAAATGCGGTGTAGTGGTTTATCGTTGCTCAATGTCGATGCCAGAGTCCTTAGTTCGGAGAGATAGGATCGCGGATTGGGTCGGGAGGTTACCACCAAATCAACATTAAGTACAACAGCATCATGAAACAATCCATTTAGTCGTAAAAATTGCAAGGAACAAATTTTTCCTCTTTGATATTTTTTCTTGACGCGACCATCTGCACCTTTTTCTGTACCTTATTCTTCTTTCATCTCTGCTTAACTTCAGTTTTTTTCTTTTCAGTCAAATGCTACAAAGATGCGAGTCATTTTTGGCCTTTTGACAAACCAAACGTAGCAGACTTGATCACAGGAAAGACTTTAACAAGCAAAATGAAGCATATCAAACCAGGCCCAACGTTTTATAGTATTACAAGTGCAGCATTTAGCCTGACAAACAAGTAAGTCTAGCAAATTACCGCGGAAATGGTTCGTCACTAATTATGATTCACAAAAGAGGAAAATAGGTGGGTAGGTAAGAAGGAAAGTATAAAAGTATGGTAGGAAGGCAGGAAGGCAGGCGAGATGTTTTAGGTATATAATAGGTTTCTAGATTCCAAATTTAAATGACTCTATACTATAGTCTTGCTTACACTTTCACATACCAAATAACTCATCTTTTGATGCACAATTCAGTAACTGACCAATTTGACATTATCTTTCAATATTCTATTATACCTTAGCAAACTGAATCTCGGTGACTTCGCTGGAAAATGCCTCAGTAATCCCAAGTTGTGTACTAAAGGCCTGACCGTAGCCTTCTGGTTTAACGTCGCCATAGCCAGTACGGGCGTCCAAACATTATTATCAACAGACACTACCTCTCCCGGTATACAAATTTACTTCTCTAACGATGAAGTGCACGCGAATGTGTACGACAAAACATATAAAACATACGCCAAAAGTACAGCCAAGAAAGGACAATGGAATCACGTGACTGTCACGTGGACACCCACAAATCAGATGGTTTTGATGATCAATTTTAATAGTCAGACTAGCGGTTCCACCAGTCCTGACCAGAGGCTGACCGATACCAACACAATCTTGACCATTGGAGCAAAGAATGATTTGAGTGGAAGCGCAGATGCATCTATCAGCAGGTAAAATTGCATATAACAGCTAGTATTATTTTTGATTGGGATAACAGACCCCTTGCATGAGATGTCAAAGCAGCTCGATCTGGGGGACAAAACAAAAGAATTCCAATCTCCTGAGAATTGGAACCTACTGTTTTGTCCCCCAGATCGAGCTGCATTCCAAAGTGCTGCAAGGGGTCTATGAAAGTAATGATGAAGATAGTTTGTCTCGTGATGTTAATTATTGACGATGATGACAGTGATGGATGAGGATGACAGTGATGGTGATGATAATCATAAATGATGATGATGATGATGATAAGATGAAGGTGTTGTTGTTGATGATGATAAAGATGATGGTGCATGATCAGAAAGATGTTGTTGATGATGATAAATGTGATGTTGGTGAAGGTGTTGTCGTTGATGATGATGATGAATATAATGGTGGTGAAATATGTAAATCATTATCATGTTAATAATAAATGATGAGGAAGTTCTGCCATCTCTAACAGGGGGTTATAAGAGCCGGCCAGATATTATAAAAGGGAATTAGTATAAGGAAGTTTCATTTCTGAATTACCCTTGAATATAGCATATACCTTTACCGAAGTAGTTTCCAAATCCTCTTCTATTTAGCCTGGTCATATGGGAAAAAAGCTTAGATGGTCACTACATACAAAAGATTGGAATCTGCACAGGTTTTTCTCCAGGTGAGTTCTCCATACTAATATCCTTCTGTCTCCCTTATTACGTCTTAGTGCCACTAACACCAGACGTTTGCATTTGAACGAAACCAATTTCATCACCTCAATAAATCCCTCCCTTGTAGTCTATCGGAATGCAGCTCGCATGCAATTAGGAGGACATAACAATAGGTTTCCAATTCTCAGGAGATTGAAATTCTTTCGTTTTGTCCTCCAAATTGAGCTCCTTTGACGTCACATGCAAGGGGTGCATTGAGCTCCTTTGACGTCACATGCAAGGGGTCTATTGAGCTCCTTTGACGTCACATGCAAGGGGTCTATTGAGCTCCTTTGACGTCACATGCAANTCCTTTGACGTCACATGCAAGGGGTCTATTGAGCTCCTTTGACGTCACATGCAAGGGGTCTATTGAGCTCCTTTGACGTCACATGCAAGGGGTCTTTTTGCAAAGCTGGATTTAAATCTTTCAAATCCCAGGAACTCTTTATGATAACAACAAGGAATGAAATATACTTTTTTTCTCATGCAGTTCCGTCGCTGGAGGAAGGCAACTTCTCGAGCATAATCGTACCGTACGATTCACTGACAGCGTCGTCCGATGTTGGGAACACGATACTCAAAGGCCAACTGCTCTACGACGATGGCACTGCTTTATCAGGTTTGTATCACTCAATCTTATTACTGGGTTACCTGTGGCAACCCAGTGTACCCTGTCCCCAGGGTGTTGTTGGACAACCATCTAAAAAAAATCAGGAAAATCTAGTCAAGTGATCATTTTCCTCCATTTTGGAAAAACCATGAATGTGAAAGTCACCTTTTCTCCTGACTGTCTTTATTAGGTGCGTGGCAGCCATCACATACTACTCCCCCCACGTACTTCCAGTTGGACTTCGTAATGGGTATGCCATTGGCCAAGACTGCAACACAGGGCGGTAATAATCTGGCCCAATGGGTGAAATCTTATACACTATCTTACAGCTGGGATGGACAGGAGTGGACGGATTATAAGATCAGTGGTTCTGTATACGTAAGTCAACTGCTCGGATATACACCTAATTCAAGAAACGTTGTCCTGGCCAAAGGAGATAGGCGATAGGTCATTCCGACATGGAAATGGTTTCGTTGAATACAAAGAACATCGAATCAGTCTCAACACTAAGGTCCATACTCTTGACAAGAAGAAGAAGCAGAAACACAAGTCATTCCAGCTATTCTTGGATCTTGGAATGACATATATCCTATCGCTTTTCGCCTATCTCCTATTGCCTATCGTCTTTGGCGATGAACACGTTTTATGAACTAGCTGTATATAGATATAGCAAGAGAATATGAACGATACAGCTCAAACAAAGAATCTTATTATTGAGAGAATGACACGTGGTCTGAAATGGGAAAACATTACCTTTTTAAGCCGCCAAGTGTTTGATCCCTCAGTTTAATCTAACCCTTTTTACATTTATACCAAAACATTTTTTGATTACATTTTAGCATTTCACGGCAAATTCGGATAGCAAAAACATCGTCTCGCATTTACTCTGCCCTAAAATCGAAGCAAGACTCATACGCTTTCATCCCGTCACCTGGAATGCGAATATAGCGATGCGCGTTGGACTCTTAGTGGACGGAGATGGTGAGTACTGATCAATGAAATGCCAGGGTAAGGTTTTTTCATACAAGAAAATGCACAATAAGATATGATGTGCCTAAAGGCCGGTTTGGACGGTACGATTTTCGCCTACAACTATCGTATACAACACGCACGCGCCATCCTACAACTCGAGTCGTAGCGTGTAAATCAAGCCTACAACTCGCCTACGACGAACGCGAGAATGTTGTATACGATAGTTGTAGGCGAAAATCGTACCGTCTAAACCGGCCTTAAAACGAAGAATCTTATTCCCAAAGAAATGTAATGTGGCCTGAAATGCGAAAACATTACGGCCCAAGTTAAGCTGAATGGGTCCAAAATACCTCAAAAACAAACCTCTAATGCTTTTTCGGCAAATCTTAGAAAACTCCCAAAAACGAAGCTCGAAAAACCTCATAAACAAACCTCAAATTTTGATTGCTTGACCTGGACTATTTTTGAAGGTCAACTGCTAATTTGTATTCATTGAATATTTGAAAACTCTATGGAACCAATCATCCTTGTATTTTATTAACAGCCGTTGACTTCAAGGGCTGCTACAGCAGCGCCTCAATCGACCTAACAAAACCCATAAATGACGTCAACCCGGACGAACTGCATCCTGGGAAGTGCGTGACGTCATGCGTCTTTCAAAATGCAAAGTACGCAGGATTGTCGCACGAGAACCGTTGCTACTGTTTCGACACGTTGCCTGGTAACGACGTTTCACGGCACAAGTGCAACGACCCTTGCAACGGAGACCCTTCATTCAAATGTGGAAGCCTGTTCTATGTCAATGTCTATGGAGTACGCGAATCAGTCGATGCCAATTTCTTGATAAGTATACCGAGTAAGGTTAAGCTGTTGACGCCCTTCAAGGTTACGTCGTCAGTTCATCACAGGTTTTCTGTGGACTTTGGGGAAGGCATCATCTTAATCACCAACAAGTCCGAAATTTCCTACTTCGCGACAAACGTCAATAAGAGAACTGTAAGAATTGCTAATCATGACTTCGTATAACATCATAACACCACCAAAAATAACCTCTGGGTTACACTGATCTAAGTCAGGGCAAGGCTAACATACAAAATCAAACCCTGAAATAACCTCTGGGTTGCACTGATCTAAGTCAGGGCAAGGCTAACACACAGATTGAACCCTGAAACAATTTCTGGGCTGATCAAAGTCAGGACACAACTAACTCACAAAATCAAAGCCTGAAAAAAACCTGTAGGCTTATCTTAGTCAGGGCATGTTTAGCTCACAGATCCAAGCCTGAAACAACCTCTGGGCTTATCCAAGTCAAAGCACGGCTAAGTCACAGATCGAAGTGGAATTTAGGCTGTTGGGTTTTGTGGAAGGGAGAAAATTGAAGAACTCAGATTGAGAAAAATCCTCACATCAAAGCTGAGACCCAACAGACTCTATTGTGGATTATTCTCTTCTATAGAGATAAACAGCCAAACTCAACATCCTTTTATCGATCTGGGCCCGGTTGTATGTACAAAGCCTGGATGGCGCTATCCGGCGGATAAATCCTTATCCAGTGGATACGTCGATGCTGTTATCCAATAAATTTATCCACTGGAAAAGATTCATCCGTCGGATAGCGCTATACAGGCTTCGTACAACCGGGCCCAGGGATCCCTGAGAAACATGGAATATATGTTCTTCTTGGCTATCACTTTCTTAACTCTGGTATGATCACGTGGCAGGTTGTTGCAGACACGTGGACGAGTAAGTATGGAACTCCAAAGCAGCGTAAAAGTTCCAAGGAGTTAGAAGTCCAATGGTACCTGAATGGATCCAAGATATCATACGATAAAGTCGTAGAAGCTGGTCAGTCTTATGCAATTAACATCACTGTGAATGAAGGCAGTGAATTGAAGATACTGCGAACAAAGAGTAATGGAGAACAGCAATCCTACAGTATCCCTGGTGAGTAGAGACTCTACAATATCCGGGTACTAGTATAGAAAGATATTCCATATTTCTCGAATATATTTTGATCTTATATTTTCAGATGCTATGGTACTAACGACTCTAAAATTGGACTCCACCTTGACGACTACCACACCCGGCTCCAATAGTCAGGACAGGTTGTTTGTCCTCTCGAATAGCGTATTCAATAATAATGGTATACTGAAAGCTTTCACAGTTCATGTGTTGACACCAGGGTACATCAAAGTACAGGTATGGTTGACGTAATGGTCACGTGATCACATGATGAGGTTTTACGTATTGTCACGTGATCACATGATGAGGTTTTACGTAATAACACGTGATGTCACGCGACCATATGATGAGGATTGACGTAATGTCACGTGATCACATGATGAGGTTTTACGTAATAACACGTGATGTCACGCGACCATATGATGAGGATTGACGTAATGTCACGCGATGACGTGATGATGATTGACGTGATGTCACGCGACCACATGATGAGGATTGACGTAATGTCACGTGATCACATGATAATAATTGACGTATTGTCACGTGATCACATGATGAGGTTTTACGTAATAACACGTGATGTCACGCGACCATATGATGAGGATTGACGTAATGTCACGTGATGACGTGATGATGATTGACGTGATGTTACGCGACCATATGATGAGGATTGACGTAATGTCACGTGATCACGTGATGATAATTGACGTGATGTTAATTTTGTAGCAAAAACTGGGCTAAACGTTTCTGGTGTTTGATCTTAAATTTTCTTAGCAGTTCTGTAATTTGTTCAGAAGTTTTCCAGCCCAGTTTTAATTGGTTCATGTTGTGTTTGTGAATTATTTTAGATTCTCCGTCCCGTGTGTATCGCGGGAGACAATACCACTTACTGTTATTCAACTGGAACATGCAACTCCTCTGTATCCCTATGTACTTTCACGCTGCCCAGCACTAGCCCATCCTGCTCCTCTGGAAGCGTATTCTGCGCCTCTACCAGCCTTTGCACACAGAATAATCTAGTGTGTGGAGCGGCACAGTCGTCCGCCAATGTTACTTTATGGTCAGAGTACGAGGTGGTACATGAAGTCTATACATACCTCGATAAGGGACAGCAGTTGTTCTTAGCGCGAAATGCAACAAGTACTAAGGAGTTTGAAGTTCGAATCGGCGACCTTCCGGCTATTGCTTTTCCAGCCAGTCAGAGCGCAGAAATTTCCATGATCAAAACTTCGACGAGAAACCACTACCGGAGCAATACACTCTACAAAGTCCAGGATTTGTTGCAATCTTCTACCCTGACGTCCGAGGTTGATTATCCTGACCTACAAGCAACTTATGTGGTTCCGTCTACCTTCGCTCTCCTTGACAACTGCACTTCAGGCACTCACCAAGATGTGTTTAATTTCTCTAACTCGTATGCCTACGAGATAGTAACCGCTAATTACTTGTGTATTGAGCGAGTGCGGAATGTTACATGGATCCATGATTTATACCTGCCTGCGCGCGTTCCTGTCAACATCACTGTCCTAGCTCATCCCGGAATTAATGTCACACATGTGATTGGGTATGGTAACGCAACCCTAACTTACCAACAAGAACGAGTTGATCATAACGTAACGTATGCTGTACTTTTTAACGACACTGGTAATTATTCTCTAACGCTGACAGCTTTTAATTTGCTCGGACTTGAGGCCAAGAGATGTTACGTGATTGTTATCGAGAGAATCTTGGCGATGGAAATCATAAAACCGCTACCAACAAAACACAGCTATGTCACGCAAATTCAATGGACGGTTCATAATGGCAGCGATATCCAATGTAACGCAAGCCTTGGAGAGGGAACCTTTCGTCAGACGACGCCAAGAAGTGTGACCGGCGTAGAATTGATGACAATGAATTATACTTATCCACTCGCTGGTGAATACTTTTCTAACTTAACCTGCTTCAACCCTGTCAGTAGTCTGTCTAACTACACGTTTGTTGTGGTGGAACTCCCAATTAATGGTTTAATAGTCTATGTTATTCACGTAGCAAGAGACATCGAGGTGAATGAAACAATAGAAGTAGTCGCGGCCATCACCCAAGGAACAAACCCTATAGCTCTGATTGACTTTGGAGATGGGACTTCAAACCTGACTCGTACATTGAGGAGCTTCAAATCTTACCCAACATGGGGGTTCTTTACTTCGAATGTTACTGTTTACAACAATGTCAGCTCTATGAATTATTCTTTGGTTATCCAGGTTCACAAACCAGTATTTCCCATCAATATTACGCACATCACAACCAAAGATACAAACTTCTCGAACCCAAATCCTTTCATGATGAATATTTCGTCCGGGAATGATTTCATCTGTGACTGGGATTTTGGCGACGGTGTGGTTAAGCGAAGAGCTAGCAACTTCAGCACCTTAGGGCGTCTGGTTTACCATAATTACAACTTGGATAAGTGCTTTAATGGGAAAGCTAATTGTAGTAATCGCCTTTACAACCATGAGAGGGTTTTCACCGCATGTGTCTACCATCCCATTACGAATCTAACTTTCCTCGTCCCTTCTGCTTATCCCAGTAGTAACATAGACATGAATATATCTTTCCAAGCCGTTCTGGGAACTTCCGTCAGCTATAACATTACATGGAAGCATCTTCTAGGAAGCCAGATAAATATTCCCGCTACGGTTTCTGCTGACACAAAAAGTGGAAGTGCGTCAATACCTCAAGGTAATTTCCCCGGAATCGGGATATACATTGCTGAACTCAGCGCCATCAATCAAGTTACCCCAAAAGTTGTCGTGACGAAAACTGTCAACGTGGAAATTCCGATCCTGAATCTTTGCGCTCAGGCCAGCCATGTTTACGTCCAAGTCGGCCTACCTGTTCATTTCTATGCTTCTGTTGATGCTGGTTCCAACGTGACTATGACCTGGAACTTCCAAGATGGATTCAACCAGACCGACCTATACAGAGGTGATACTCTGAGGATAACAGGCAATAATGTCAGTCATTCGTTCGCGCATCATGGTATATACAAAGTGTTAGGGACCGCAACCAACCCCTTGGGTAGTCACTCTGCTGTGGCTGTCGTATATGTCCAGTACCCAGTAAAGAACCTTGTAGTTAGTACAAACAGCCCACAGATAATCCCTTTGGGAGAGACATGGTTCACTCTTACGGTTGCCACCGGTGACCATCCTCCGACGAACGCGACCATCGATGTGGACTACGAACTTAATGGGGTGGACAGGGATATCGTTTTCGGTATGAATAATACAAGTAATTTTTCAAAAACCATCACCGTACCAGGAATATACTTTGTGAATTTGACAGTGAGCAACAAAGTTAGCTCTCAGCAGCTCAATACCACTTTTGATGTTCAGAGAGAAGTCAAAGACTTCGTAGTGACGCCTGCGCATACTGATGGAGATTTAGGGTTTGGCGCACCTGGTAGAGGACCCGCAAACAACGTGTTTCCGAGGGAGTATCCAATAAGGTTCAATGCGAGCACAAGCGATGGCTCAAATGTCACTTTCTTCGTGAGTTACGGCGATGGGGCAACAAATGTCACCCAGTTTTATAACACCTCTCATTTCTACCCAACCAAAGGAACCTTCATTGTCACCGTCATTGCCAACAACTCTGTCAGCCAAATGAAATACAATACAACCATAGTTCTGATGGACAGCAATGTTAATCTCACTTTTGATAATGACAGTCCAACAATGTACACAGATTGGACAGCCATCACTATCCTTCTGGATAAAATCGGAGATAATGCTTGCTGCCTTGTGGACCTAACGAACAATACATATAGAATATACAAGGACAAGCCAAGTACAGTCTGCAGACCCGACTGGGCATCTCTGACAAAAGACCAACACGTCTTACCATCCAAACAAAACATTTCTGTCACTTTCTCCTTTAAATTTTGGCAGTTGATTTACTACTGGATCACGACGTCTTGTCACAACACTGTTTCCTACCTTGAAGAATATAAGTGGGCCATCATTGTGCCATTGCCATGTAATTTCCCTTCAGTAGAGATTCTAGACTTGGGCAGATCGTATTCCAAACCCAGAAGGTTTTATCGCTCGGAGAGTATTAAACCATACTCGGATGCTTCCATCATCTGCTATGCGTCAAGAGAATCTCAGTTTGAATGGGAAATCAACGAGGTCGACGGCTTCAGCAATAGACGCAGGATTACTGATCTATCTCAAAACAGCACGACAAATCGTTCTATCTTAGTACTCCCTGAACGATCTCTTCCTTATGGGATCTATTTACTTCAGGTGAACGTAAGTATGGTGGGACTGCCCTTGGTCTATACGTCTCGTGCGGCATACGCAGAGATCATGCCATCGCCTTTGCAATGCTTTGTTTATGGTGGCAACGGATGGTCACAGTCTGTACACCGTGATATCATCCTCAATGGTCAATTTTCCTTCGATCCTGATGAAGAACCTTCAAACCAAACTTCAGGAATGCAATATTTCTTGTACTGCAAAAAGGAACATAGCAATTACACCTTTCCAAATAATCCCATAACAGACGTAACAGAGCTGGCCAACGGGGGTAGTGGGTGCATTAACAGAGAAGCAGGGCTTGCCTCTAATGGTTTGAGCATCAAAACCTATGATAACGGTTCTTTTAAAGTGAACGATTCGCTGCAGTTCCGACTTTATTGTCTGAAGGGCTCTCGATTGGGATTCTTTGACGCCTTTGTCAAGATGACGGAAACAGATCCACCTCATTGTGCTTTAACGTAAGTATACTGCGAGCTAATTACTGCAATTTTCATGAACATGTTAACTCTCTGTCTGCGAGTTGCACGCTGAAAATTGTTTTTTTTACTGCCGTCAATCAAACCTAATCAGTCGGTGTCTTTCATATTTTTGACTGGCGGCAGCGAAAAACCAAGTTCCAGGGTCGAGCTCGCAGATACGGAGTTCGCGTGTTTATGAAATTTGCAATAACTCGATTGATAACTTGAGTAAGACTGATGGATGGAATAGACCTCCTCGCCGCTCGGGCCTAGTGTTTTCCCATTTCAGACCACGTGTCTAGACCCTTGAGTATCGTTTCTTTGTTTAACGGTTGCGCTCGGTTGCACATGAAAAGACACATGAATAGGGATACGTCTTAACAAAGAATTTTATTCTAAAGGGAATGACACGTGGTCTGATATGGGAAAACATTACGCCCGAACCGAGGTCTATTCCTTGTGCGGGTCAGGGAACTTCAAATTTTATCGATATCCTAAAACAACCTCTGAGCTGGTCGATCAAACTTAGAGCATGGTTAACTTACAGATCGAACCCTGAAACAACCTTTGGGCTGATCTAAGTCAGGGCATGACTAACTCATAGATCAAACCCTGAAACAACCTCTGGGCTGATCTAAGTCAGGGCATGACTAACTCATAGATCAAACCCTAAAACAACCTCTGGACTGATCTAAGTCAGGGCATG